TTCAGTTTTGGTCTCATCTGACCAAACCATATTCTCCCAGTATTTCACAGGCTTGATGAAATGTTGTTTAGCAGATTTTAAACGTGTTTCAACATGCTTTTTCTTGAGCAATGGAATCTGACCACAAGTGATTTTTGGCCCTTTGACAACCCTTCCAATAATTCCTTTCACTCCTCTGTCTGAAATCTTGTGGGGAGCACCTGGCCATGGCCAGTTTATAGTGGTTTATGGTTTATAGAAACATTTTTTTATGCATTTTCCATCAAGCTAGCGGATCATCTTCTCCGTCTATGACCCCCTTGCTGAGATAACAGTCCATTTCTATCTGCACCTTCTCCTCCAGTGTGCAATTTAACCATTAGTTCGCCCATGTTTGGACTTCTTCTGTGTTCTAAACACGGAAATCAGTCCGTGGATGATTACATTGCTCTGCCCATCAAGTCGTTACCAACATCTGGTGATAATTTCATATCAATAGCACCTTGATTAGTGACATAGTCAGTATTTATTTTTACCTGCTGTGTATGTTACAATCATTATAGTAGTATAGTACTATGATACGTGACATTGTGATACACCATTCTAATTTGGTATTTTATATTATGACACAGTGCTCAATTTAACTGTCAAATGTATATGATTGTGGGATTTGCATAAAATATTTGTATACACCACATAGATGTTGGCACTCACAATGTCCTTGGCAGTGCTTATGGAAACTTTTATCAAGATTAGCCCACTTGTGTAGGATGAGTTACTTTTGATTTTGTATAGTTGTTTTTACAAAAAATGTTTACATTTCTTAGAATAAGCTCTAGTTCTGTGCTCATTCTTTGTTTTTCTCAGTGGTTTGTCATTAAAAACAAAACGTTACTTGCACTGAAAATTCAGTGCGTCCTGGTGTGTGAAGAAGTTTCTCTTAACTGTGTGTAATCTTCCTTTCCTAGCTTTCCTCCACCTCCTTCACCTGCTTTCATCTCATCCATCACAGTCCATGACAGCAGATCAGCCAACATGGCATTTTCATCTCGTTTTTCGTTCTGGGAAAAAAAGGGAAGTCTTGTTTAGATGTTTAGTAGAGCACATTAGTGTGATGGGACTACTATGGTGTACTAACATCTCTATGTTTGGATTTGTGTGGCATTTGGTGTGGCACCCCACTTCAGATTTTAATGGCTTTCACTTATTTTATGTTATACTTAACTAACGCAATTTAAATGCAGTAAGTGCATTGGTTTCAGCTCTTGAAATAGTAAGACAATTTTTACAGCACATTATTGCACATCATATTGCACTGAAAGAAAAATATTTTCATGCAAAAGATGGCTCTCAGAATATGTGCATGTTTTGAAATTTGCATGGTGTGCAATGGATCTAAGCTATAAGATTTTGATCTGGTTTCCTGTTCAACACATTTAGATTAAAGAAGAGAACAAGCCAGCAAACAAAAGTGTAAGTAAACAATGGCATTAATTAGAGTTTCTGGCTCTCATTTTAGAATCGTCTTGGTTCTTGATATTTAAAATCCAGTGTTTTAGCACGGTCTTTGTATTTATATTTCAGGTTGAAGTGTTAGGATGACACATTTTATGGCAAATACCCTGTATATATCGCCATCATCTATTTCTTTGTTGTTTTTTAGGTTAAATCTGTGAATATATTTAAAAACAAAATGTTTTGTTTACAGCACTATTCCTGAAATATTTGTGGCAATATATTTTAAAGCAAATGTAAAGCTTTCTGAATTATTTAAACGACAATTAAAGATAGTAAAAAATGTAATTAGTGAATAAAAAAGTGAGAAAAGAAATAAACACATTTTAAAAAATTAAAATTAAAAAATTCTAAGTTTGTTGTTGCATTAGTTAGTTGTAATAACAATATGCAAAGGTTCTTTTCAAAAGTATAGAATGTTCAAAACAGTGTAAAACACAGAAATGCTACAGATGTTAATAAAAAAAATAAAATAAAACATTTCCATCAATAACTACTTTGACACTGTCACTGTCACTGACTGTGACAGACATGGCATGTCTGGAACACATCACTCAAGAGGTGCCTAGGAACCATCCTAGTGAGATGCCCAAATTCTTCAGCTGGCTCCTTTTGATGTAAAATGGCTCTACTCTGAGTGTATACATATTCTCATTCTTTCAGTTATTACCTAAAGCTTGTGGCCATAGGTGAGTGTAGGGATGTAGAGCTAATGTAGATCTACTGGTCAATCAAACAGCTTTGGTTTCCTGTCAACAGTACAGACCAGTTCACTGTCTGTATCACTGTGATTGTGGCCCATTTTCCCTCCGTTTCCCCTTTCCCCTGCTTGTGAACACGTCCCTAAGAGACTTAAACAACTATACTTGGGTCAACAACTGTCTGAGGCCCTTTTGAAAACCATGGTCTCAGACTTAAAAGTGTTTCATCAGGCCACCCCTGATGAAGTTGACAGAAAATCATATCATCTGCAGAAAGATGGAAGAACCTGAGACCACTAAATTGGAGGCATACCCCCACTTGGCTATGCCTACAAATTCTGTCCATAAACATCTCCAGAAAACATCTGTCTTGAATATCCTCAAGAGGATAAGAGCTCACCCAGAATTCCGTACAAAATGCATTGTTCCTCATGAAACTTCTCCCACACCTGAATTTTATATCAGCCACTGCAAGAGTCACACTCCACATGGACTGCTGGTACCTGTCAGCTGCTTCCCGAGTACTACAGGAAAACCAAATTCAACAAGACTCCTGCTTCAGCTTGACGCCACCTTGGTGTCCAGCATGTAGTTCAGGGATTACTACTTTGACAGGCACCAACCACCTTGTAGCTGCAGGTCTATGCATCTGCCTCAATAATGGGTACTCGCTATGCCAGGTCTGTCCAGTGTCCAAGACATGCACCTGTGTGCTACACTTTCTAATACCCCACCCTGTGACTCCAAGAAGGCTGGGTATTTGAAAAACTTGTTTGGCACATAAAGGGCAGTGATAGTCAGGACACTTTCCCCATCATCCACCAGGATGAGAAAGTCTTGACCAGGAACAAACCCTAACTTACATGCACCAAATTGTGAGATACAAGTATCCTGACCCTTGCTCTCAGCCTCACCACGGCAAATGGTAAATGGACTGGTTCTCATATAGTGCTTTTTTTACTCTACTTCAGTAGAAGTAGAGTAAAAAACTCAAAGCACTTCACTCAAAGCACTTCATAGACACACTTTTTTTCTACATCTAAGTGCTTTCCAGCCACCCCCGGTCTCCAGAAGACTGGTTCAAGAACCCACACTGTGTTGAGACAAACTCGACTATATCTTCCTAGTATCTCTCAAACCCAACCACTCAGGCTTCTTTCCCAACAGACAAGTGATGTTCCATGCCCCAAGTGGTAGTTTCAACAGCTGGGGGTTAGACCACCAGGGTCTCTTCTCTTTCATGATGCTTGACACACATTGCAGTTGAAAACGTTCTTAATTATTATCATTATCTAAACATCTAGGCTTATCTCTTTCCTAATATATAATAACTGGAATACTCATTCGCATATATTTGAACTTAATGCCACAAAGTTTTGGTTTTAACTCATTCCATAGTAGGTAAATCCCTGTAGTGTACTGGATTAATCATGCTAACATGCTTTAGCTGATAGTTGGCAACTAGCACTTTCCCAAAACCTTGAGGTGGACGGCTAGACATCTTGTTCCAGGAGAGCAAATATGTCATTATAGATAGACCTTTGGACCCGATGGAGCATGCTAACTTATTTTATATAGAACAGAAACTCTCAAACTGATTGCTTTGGGATGATTACATGTTCTTATACACCCTTTTAGTGTTAAATTAGTACCATGTCTAGCAAAATGGAGCTGTGATGTTTGCTGAACCTGTCCTGAAAGCCTTTGATTTCTTAGGGATATTCTGGTTGGTAGCCTGTTTTTAGGCATTGGATTTCTAGGCTAAATTCAAAGTCATTGGAAGCTCCAATATTGCATTACGTTGTAGGGTTAAAGGAATATCTGTTCTTCTCTGTTACTAGTCTTCATAAAATTCATTGTAACACACCAACATTTTTATTCTTTGACAGAATAAGACATAATGCTTGGATTTTCATTACTTGTCTACATTCATGTAATTGCTTTCTTTTCTCTGTGAGTAGTCAGACAGTGATGGGATTCCCGGCCGAGCCAAGTCAGTACCAGCTCTAGATCCTGGCAGGGGTTTATTGAGGGCAAAAAGTCCTACTGCAGAGTCAGTTGCCAGGATCAGGAGTCCTTCCCCACCAAAAGTCAGGACACCCATAAAAGTCCAAGGGCACTTCAGAAATCCTGAGCCACCATCAACGACGGCGGCACAACTTAAAAGTCCTGAACCTCCACAAATTCCTCGGAAGCTTGAACCAGATTTAAGTGAGCAAGAACAAAATGGCGTGGTGGGAAAAAGCACAGTCAATGGTACTGCCAATGGTATCATGAACCTTCCAGGCACCAGCACCAACCAAATGGCTACCACTGATGACCAGGGTTACACACGTAAGAAAGTAGTAAAGGTTGTTCGTCGTGTTGTCAGGAAGGTTTTACCCTCAGAAGATGAGATCAATGTACCAGCAAAGAAATCTGACAAAGTTACAGAAGTAGGCAAGCCTGCTACTGACACAATCAAAGTAGCAGCAGCAGCAACCTCAGTGTCCCAAACCCAAGTGATGCCAGGATTCTCTTTTAAACATGATGTCATCAAAACAGAAGACAAAGATGATATTTCAAGGGGCTTAACAAGCCTTATGGTCAGAGGCAGAACAAGGGAGCGCTTTCCAAGAATATTTCAGGATAACCGACCAGAAAAAAAGGAGTTAGACAAGATAAGTGAGAAGATGGATGAAAAACTTGACTTGAAGGAGACAACAAAGGAGCAGAATGAAGTTAAAGCCAAGCCAGAGTTGCAGGACGTTAAACACAAATCCAGCAGCTCTTCTCCAGTTACAAAGGAAATAACATCTTCTCTGGTTTCTGTTAACCCTGCTAACAAAGCAACTGTGGGCTCAGCTTCAGATTCTTCCAAATCTCCTCATTCCCGACCTTTATCTTTCACACCAGTTATGGGCTTCATCCCAGCTCCTGACTTTATACCTGAACCCCAATCATGTTTCACTGCATCAACTTCTGTGAGCCCCAATCCTCCCCAGCCCAGAGTTGGTCCACTGTCTTCTACGCCTATAGGAATTGTTTCTATCCAGAAACCTACTGTTAGTCAAAAAGAGGTACAGTCTAACACTTGGCATGTCGTCTTGACTTTTGGGACATGGTGTTGTTGATGTTGGGTGCATAGCATTTAAAATGAAGCGCCTTGAGGCGACTTTTGTTGTGATTTGGCGCTATATAAATAAAATTGAAAATTGAAATTGAAAATGCATGTTTGGAGTGAAAGAGCACTGTAATGTTTGCTAATAGTGTTTGCACCACATTTATGTGTAATGTTAGTGTTAACAGTGGCTCAGCCACTTTTAAAAAGCTGTGGAAGACAAATGAGCAGAAGAAATTGCAACACACAAGGAAATGGTTTACTTGGAGTCTCTTGAGCTAATTGCCGGTAGATGATGAAGTCACTAATTAGTAATTAGTCAATTGACTTAAAGTACAGTTGTTCAGTTGTTTGACATTTTATATTGAAAAACTGTTGGTCATTTTCTTTGTACCTTTTGTTTTTGGGCATTCAACAAGGGCTCTTTTATGAATACCCTGCTTCTAATCAGCTTAGCAACAGGTGGTGTTATATTTGGAAATATCCAACCAGCATTTCTCATTCTTGTAATCATTAAACCACAAGCACATATGTACGTCCTCAGCTTAGTCATTTCTACAGAATGCTGGGGTCGCTGTCAGAATTGTATGCTCTTTACCGGCTATGTAAACTCCTATGGTTTTAAATACACTTGCTAGTTTTGAGGTTTATGACTCTTGAATCATTTTTGTGATTAAGTCTGCCAATGAACAAGGAGGACAGTTTCAGTTTTTAACCTTTGACATATCACATAGCAGAATGTATTTGATAATAAGCCTTGTTTGCAAAGATGGAGTGTCAGCAAAGACATTTTTCAAACAGGGAACTTTGGTAGCCTGACATGACTAGCATCACCAGGTAGAGCCAGTTACTGCAATGCTGCTTTGTGGAAAAGCAACTGAAAGAAAAAACATTATATTTGAAAACGATGCTGCCACAGACAAGTACACTAACTGCTCTGCTGCCTGTTTCTCTCTTTATTTTCTCTTTAGCGCTCTTAATTTTTTCACACATTCTGTTTGGTTTGTTCCAGATTGTGTGCTGCCAATTTTAGTAATACACTGTGTTACTCTGTTACACTGTTTTTACACAGTTTTTTTAACCTCCTAAGGCCCGAACTCTTTCATGGCACGCAATTTTAATTTCTCTTTGCTATTTGGGATGATTGGGACCTCATGAATGTAAAAACAAAGAATTTTCTTTTTACCTGATTTTGCTCTACAAGGGCTGGATATCCACATATGACATTTGTTTTAAATTTCGATAGAACAGTGGCAGTATAATGTCCTCATAAGAGATATCAGGCCCTTATGGAGCAGCATGTTTTATTGTGGTCTAGACAACCCAAAATGTGATGTCCACATATGTGGATGCTCAGTCCTAGGAGGTTAAAGCATACGTACTGTCTGAAGCAGTAGCTATTTATATATTACTACTATTACTACTACTACTACTACTACCTATGTAGTGCTACTACTAAACTACTAAACATGGTGTTTTTGAAATGGATTCCATGGTAACCCAAACTGCTTATGCTGTTGATACAGTCAGTGCATGTGTTTGAGTCTCCTGTGGGAAACATTAGTGAAGACTAAACATAACTAAAATGCATATCCATCTGCTGAGGACATTTCTGTTTGTGTCTAATTGTGGGCTTTGCTTCATCTGTGACAGTGTGCTCAGATTCAGTATTTTGCTGCTTTGACCTGTAGGAGGCACTGGTCAGTCCAACTGAGGAAGCTCAGCGACGCCTGATGAAGATCTTTGGCGTCCCTGTAAATAAACAGATAATATTGCCTTTGAATTTTCCGTGTTTACACATAAAAAAAATCTAACCAGCATTATTCACTTCCCCCATGGTCTAAAGCAGTTTGACGATTAGGCAAGTTAAAGCACCGATGTAAATGGGTGGCTCTTTTTAGACTTCACATTTGTGCATGTGGCAATAACACGGTGTGCTGGTATGAAGCAACTGGTGGTGAAAACTGTCATGCCATAGAAAGTAAGGGACGGTTAACCCTGTAGCAAAAAAGTAAAAAGCCCATTATTGCTGTCATAATTTCGTAAATGCCAGGTGTTACCTCTACATATAGTGTGCTGGCACAGGAGTACAAAACAGAAGTAAATCATAGTAGAGTTTTCTTGAGAAAGTCTCATCTCTCAAGCTGTTGCAACATCTCCTTCTTTATGGTCTGAAGCCCTGTGATCCTCTGCACTGATATCTCATTGAAATGGCAGTAAAAACTGACACAATCATGTCTTCAGCCTGGCTGTGCAACCGGTAAAAGGCTCCAAAAAAGCATAGAGATGCTTCAAGTGGTGCTCCCATTGATTATTGATTATTTACTGCTTTGCCAGTGGCGTCATTGAGTCAGTGGTGTTAAAGAGAAAAAGTTTCACCAAAGGGAATTCAGAATAGCTGAAATGGTTGATTTAAAGTCATGAAACAGCTTAGTTTAAAAACAGCTGTTTTTAAAAGTTGCTCTCTGAAAGCTGCTAAATTTATTCAGTTAAATTCTGTTTTTTCAATTTATCACCAAAAACTATGAGGCAACTGTTGTTGTGATTAACTGGTCTAATGTTACATAGTCTTGCATCTCCACACCCTGCCCACTCAGTCACTTTGGTAAACTCCACTAATGTGCCAGCTAATAGAAATTATTCCCCTAAAGACAGCGAGACAGTACCATGACGACATGGAAGTTTTTTTTATCTGTTCATATTGAATTCTGGATCTTTGATGAAATGTTAATGAACCTTCAAATGCACTCTTGCAGTTATAACGATCTGTGTTGCACAAGGTCAGGTTAAGTTAAGCAATGGAAACTAAGTCTGTCAGCAGGGTTAGAGCTTTAGCTAACTAGTTCTGCTGCCTATGTTTTTTCTTGTGCTGTAGTCTTTTTTAACATCTCAGAAATGTTCCCCTTCCTTTCTAATTTAACAATAACTTCACCAAAGCTGTTAGCATACATCACTATTCATCACATTGATCATCATTCCACTCTCACAATTTCCCTTACTGTGTTGCTCATTACCCTGACAATAAAAACTTGTACTCTATTAAAATTATATTTCAAAACAATAGAAAAATTACTGGAAACCTTGAAAATTGGGCTGCCCTGATAAACATGAATTGGGCCCACAGTTCTTCTTGACTTCTGATGCAATGTCAAATTCTGTTACCTTTAAATTCAGTCATTTTGCTGGAGCTGCTAGAGCTGTGGACACTACAGAAACACCCACTTATGGATTTTGTTATAGACTTGACAGGTTTCAGAGTTCTGCTTAAGACATTCCTGTGGAATGAAGCTCAAATTATATCTCGCTAGTTAGTTTTGTAGCACATTCCCTTTCATGAGTGATATAACCAACTTCTCACAATTAGCCAATAACTGAATAATTGAACTGACTACATTCTCATTAGATAGGGGAATTATTTCAATGCCATGGTTACTCATTGTAAAGCCATTTTCCCTTTTCCATTGCCACTCAAATGTTCATGCACTTCTTGTTACTTTCATGTTCTGCAATATTTTCATCTGAATTTCCATGTTGACTGTGTCTTCTGTGTTCTTCCCCTCATTCCCTGTCTTTCTCTCCATGCTTTACTCACACTGCTTTTGCTGGTTGTCTCTGTGGCTAGCTGGAGCCAGCAGTCAGTGTTTCATCTTCTGTTGAGGCGCTCGTGTCTGCACCCCTGCAGGCTCAGGGCACCGTCCATGCACCACAGACCTGCATTTCCCTGGGGCTCCTATCTGGAATTTGTACTCATTTGACATGTGAGAATGTAAGGCCCAAAATCCTTTTAATTTCCTCAATTTCCCCCATTTGAAGTATTGTATTGAACTCAATTGAATTGAATTTTATTTATGTAGTGCCAAATCACAACAACAGTTACTTCAAGGTGCTATTGACAGTTAAACTCCACAAAACTCCACATACGCTTAATATGTTTGGTTTTGTTAGAGCCCCTCCCCCCCCCTCCCTCCCTCTCTGTCTCCCTCTCTCTCTGCAACTGCAAATCCTAAGTAAAATGTATATTAAAAAGAAGGCAAACCCAAATTGTAACATGTTAAGAAACAAATAAGGCCATTTTGAAGAACAATAGGCTGGAAAAGTAAGTGGTACTAAATACAAAAATCCAATAACTGGTCTCCTCAGTTCGCAGACACTTGTCGAATGAGCCTGTAAACAGTGGTAACCTTTGCCCTGTCCTACATTTTTTTTGACCTATTGCCATCAAGTTCAAAATGACCCCAATTCTTTCCTTAAAAGAGTAGATTTTCTCAGTTTCAACATTTGATGTGTTTTCTGTGTTCTGCTGTACTTCTGCTATTGTACAGCATCCCAACATTTTGGGAATCAGAGTTGTATTTCAGGCTTTCAAGGACTTTTTCTTACAATATAGTGTTAGTCCTTCAATTCAGGCATGCTAAACTGGTCTCTCTAAAGATGAGAGCAGCTAAGACATTATACAGGGATGCTAAAGTGATATAATAACCTGCAGATAGTTGGATATTACGTTGGGTTATTAAATTAATAATTTCCAGAATTGTCAACATATTCACAGAATGGTATGTGTGGCACATGGGGGGCTGGGCAGGGAGTTCCTACTTGGCACGTGTTTTTTAGTAAATGCAATCATGAAAGAGCTTGTTATGAAAATAATTTGTAATCATCTATTTGGGATTTTTTGGTTTTAAGCAGATAAAAAAGTTAATTTAAATACATGAAGCAGTGAGGAGGCTGTCACTTGCAGCCTTCATCACAGATTGTTTGACAGCTGTGTTCACTAATTTGTCATGAGCACAGAACTCCAGGGCTTTCTCATTGATGGCTGGCTGAAATGGCCAGTAGCCTATAACCGATTGCTCAGCCTTCATATACTAATCAAATTTCCTTGTTCTTTATCGGTATAAAAAGTCTGAACTTCACTGTTGGCTTTTTCAGTTTTCTGCCCCATTGTATTGTCATGGCGTACACTGTGGGTGCGTCTACTAAAAATCTCAGATGAGTTTGAATATCGGTCAAGTTTTCTAAACATCTTGCGAATGCAATAACTCAAGAAGGAATTCATCTAGGATTTTCAGATTGATACCATAGGTGCATCAACAAAAAATCGTGGCCGAGGTTGAATCTCAGTGATCTCAACCTAAAGGTCAGAGTAAGTTTTCTGTCAATGTGGTAACTTGAGAACAAGGTGATGTAGGATTATGAAATTGGTAAATGGTAAATGGATCAGGTCTTGATAGTGTTTTTTTTTACTCTGAGCACTCAAAGCACTTTACACTACTTGCATCCTTCACCTATTCCCACCCATTCACACAAGCACCCTTTTCTTCGCTCTTTCTATGGAAGTGCTTTCTATCAAAGGCAATGTCTTTAGAGTCTTTATGAATGAGGCCTTTTTGCTGTCATATAATCATCATGTTTTAGTGACCTGTGAAACTTTCAAAATGTAACATTCAAGCAGTACTTTTAATCGATGATCATGCATAGTGAGTAGACTTATATATTCTGGATATGTAGAGCATCTGTTGCAGTGACATTGTCTACAGCTGTGCAGATGATGTTTCATTTTATCTGTGTATTTGTTTGTATATGTGTGTCTGTTTTAACATATATTGCTTATGTATAACTGTGACCTTTAACCTTCTCATGCTGGCAAAATCACCAGGGATCAGTAGAAGAGGATCTTATTGCTCTCCAAGCATCTCATGCTGCAGCTAAGCAATCCCAGGTGTGGACTGCACTATGCCTGAGTGTGACAAAATCACCAGCTCATCCCTTGTGTTGTGCTGCATTGTGCTCGTGCTTGCAAAGTGCAGTGTTCCCTATTCATGTTTCCTGTTCAAATGTAGTAAAATGTCTTTAAAAAAGTCATCAATAGGAACACCCTCGTTTTTTGTGCTTGTTTCCAGTTTACTTTGTTTTACACTTTCATTCTTGGTTCTCTATGTGTTTGTGTTCTTTCATGTTGTTATGAATATTGGGCTGAACCAAGCTACTCTCTGGCATTTTAGATACCAGGGGTTGCTACTGAACTGCCGTTTGACAAACGCAAATGTCCTCACACATTCTTCATACAAGCCTGATCAGTCAATCACATGATCATTATTTTGAAAAGCTTTAATTGCATCCTTTCAGCATGTACTGATATCTCACTGGAAATTCAAATGGTTTAAAAACACATGTTGCTGTGAGTGGTCCACAGGTATAATTTCCCCTGCTGTCCTCTAATTCTGACCTTTGTCCTTTTTAGGTGAAGACCGAGGAACAGATTGCAGCAGAGCAGGCCTGGTATGAATCAGATAAAGTATGGCTTGTCCACAAGGATGGCTTTTCCCTGGGTGAGACTGGCTTATCTTTTTAAAAATGTTCTGACAGTGGCATCACATTTTCCCCATTCCATTGCCTTTTATTGGTCTTTTATAAAAAGCTACATAGTTACTTGCTACTAAATGTGTTTTTTAATATATCTACCGTTTAAAATATATGAGGTGTGTACGTAATATTTTACTGCAAAAAATCTGTTATTTTGCATTAACTTAATTTGTCCGGTTACTTTAGAGCCCCTGAAATGAAGGGATTGTGTTAAAAATGCTCTAGTTTGTCACATTTTTATGCAATCTTATCCAAAATCAGAAAAAAGTTGTCTCTGTCCAAATATTTATGGACCTAACTGTGTCATTGGATGGTGAAAAGAGTACTTAAATTACTTAAGTAGCTCCTGAATCCCCTTTAAATGCATCCTATAGTGGAAAAAGAAGCTGGAAAAAAGGGGACATCTCTCACATCCTTGTGGCTGTCACTGAGGGAGTTAAATAACTCTCTGACTGCACGACATCTGGGGTGATTGAGATTTACCCTAGGTTTGAATGCTCGTGATCAGGGGTGTCAAACATGTGGCCCACGGGCCACACTAGCCTGCAATAAAAATATATTCGGCCCACAAGATAATTTCATGTGTAAGTTAATAATGACATGTTGGTATGTGGGAGCTGAATCTTCAGCTGTGCTGGGAATGCATGCAGGCAGGGTCGCGACTTTACTTTGATTGGCACATCAAGCAGTCAATCACATGCAAAGACAGACTGGGATCATACCATTATGTGAAAGAAGGAAGAGGGGAAGACGTTCTGAAGACAGCAAGTGTAGTGGTACAGGCCAGGTACACAGAGAGAACAAGTGAAGAAAAGGAGCAAAAACATAAAATAAGCAGCATCTGGCTGCATTTCAATGATACTGGAGACTGCAAAGCTGAGTGCAGAATTTATCACATCTTTCCATTGCACAGGACAAACGGTGTCCAGGCTTTAAACCTCATATTCTCCCTAGTAGTATCAAATCCATGAAAATAAGGCTTTTAAACCGAATAAAAAACACTGAAAAAATTGCTAAATTGAAGAAGACTAAATTTACAGTTCAATATTAAATTCTACATAAAATAAACTACATACAGTGTCTTTGAATGGCAGAAATGGAAAAATGTGTGCATGTAGTACAGAGCCATGGCTCAGTGTCTGAGTTTTGCTGACCGATTTTTTTCTTCTTCATTGTAACAGCAGTTTTTTTCCTTTATCATGTAGAAAAACTGTTAAATATGTAATTTCTTTACACTGACAGAATGATGAGTTAAGGTCAAAGTGGGCCGTTGGTGCTCCATGGTGTAAAATGAGTTCGACACCCCTGCTGTAGATGTTTTGGGGCTGTCAGCCTGCTTTTGTAACATTATGTTGAAGTCATAGAAAGTGCCTGTGGAGTAGCGGACTGGAGTCGTTGTGATGATGTGGTTTTGTTGGCTTCACTGAGCAATGATTTTCAGTTTGCACTGAGAAATCAATCAAATCAAATCAAAATGTATTTATATAGCACATATTAAAACAACAGTGTTGACCATAGTGCTTCACAGTCAGTAAAAGCATGAGACAGTTAAAACAAACAATAAAACAGGACAACAAACAATAGGTAACAACACAACAAGCTGGACCAGCCAACTAGACAGAATCAAAAGCCAAAGTAAAAAAATAAGTTAAGACGTGATTTAAAAGACTGGATCGACTCGGCAGTACGAATATGAACAGGGAGGTTATTCCAGAGTCTGGGTGCCACGGATGCAAAGGCCCGGTCACCTCTGGACTTCATTCGAGTCCTAGGTTGTATTAGGAGCCTGTGATTGGACGATCTAAGTGCTCTGTTGGGATTGTATGAGTGGAGTAGTTCAGAAAGATAGCTCATCGCTAAATTATTCATAATATTAAAAGTGAACAAAATAATTTTAAAATCTATACGATATTTAACAGGGAGCCAATGTAATTTAGCTAAAATTGGAGTTATGTGTTCATGGATTCTCGTACCTGTTAAAAGACAGGAGAGGAGTGTTGGAGGCCCGAGTAGAGGGAGTTACAGTAGTCCAATCTGGATGTAATAAATGCGTGGATAAGCTTTTCAAGGTCCTTTAAAGGAAGGAACGGCTTTGCCGAAAAGTGTGTTGTTCTCATCCCGATCTGTTTGCAGCAGCTCAGCATATGCATTCTACAGCTTAACACTTCACACTGCACATATTTGCATATTTGAAATTAAATTTTTAGAACCTCCCAGCTGTGAAGTGTTTTTCATTCGGATTAAATGTGTTAATTAGCTATAAAAAATAATTTATTGGATGATAAAGTCTTTAAAATGGAAATAAAAAAATCCACACATGTACATAAAAAACAAAACAGATCCACAGAGGGGAAAACTGGTGGCCTTCTGGGTAAACTGCTCTTTAGAGTTTTAGATGGCAAAGTCATGCATTTTTCCTTTTGTTATTCTCTTTAATTATCCACTTAAGATATAGAGATCAGTAGAGTTGAGCACTTCAGTCAGGCAAAAACTAAAGTGTTTACTGTCTTTTCTCTGGCCAGCCACCGTGATAAAGACAGAAACTGGCTCTCTGCCAGAGGGCAAGGTAAGAATCAAAATGGAGCATGACGGGACTGTACTGGATGTGGATGAAGACGACATTGAAAAGGTGAGTAGGTGACCTCCGACCCTGTTCATCTAAATTCAATTCAATTTAATTTAATTCAATCCAGCTTTATTTATATAGTGCCAAATCACAACATTTGCCTCAAGGTGCTTTATATGTTAAGGTAAAGATGCTACAATAAAACAGAGAAAACCACAACAATCAGATGAGCCTCTATGATCAAGCGCTTTTGCAACAGTGGGAAGGAAAAACTCCCTTTTATAGGAAGAAAACTGCAGCAGAACCAGGCTCAGGGAGGGGCGACCATCTACTGCGACCGGTTGGGGTGAGGGGAGGACGATGAACTAGGTTTTCAGTATCTCTCTGAGACAGATTTCTAATTTTAGAGATATTATACATTTACATGAAATCAGTCCTCCATGTTTTGTTTTGTTTTTACACATCCTGGTCAAAAATGCCGACCCCAGGGAGGCAAGTATAATGTAAAGAGAAATGGTCCTAGCACAGAATTCTGTGGAACTTCATAATTAACCTTGATGTATGAAGAGGACTGATGTTCTAGCTTTATAGAGGCCCTGTTTCTTTTAAAAAGAAAAACAAACTATGTTTTTTTAAATTAGTAGGACACCTTTTCCTTTTAGACTTTTACCAGGGAGTCAATTACTTCTGATTTGAGGCTTTCTTTGTCAGAGGAGCTACAATCTCAAGAATCGTACGCAGTGAAGATGTAAAACTATTAGGAAGATAATTGACCTCTGTGGGAGTAGAGTTCAAGGGGCTACTTTGCCTTGGCTTATGGCACTAAAGAAGATAACAGTGCAGGATTTGTATTGTAGTTAAACTTAATTATAGCACTTTCAGATATACATTTACTGCAATGCATATAAAGGTCTCAGTTTGTCACTTTCACTTCTTGGATATTATAAACAATAATACCCATAAATTAAAGTAGATTATTAGATTAGATTGTTATGATCGCATTGAAGGATCCACAGTACAAAACTTTCATATCAAATCACACTGTATCACAGAACAACTATGTGCATATTAATTATGTAAGCCTGTGGTAAACTGATGGTTAAAACATGTTTTTGTTGCTGACACATTAAATTTGGACTTTCAAGCACGTTTGTTGTTGTGACTTAGCACTGTATAAATAAAATTGAACTGAATTTAATAAACGATTCATATTCCAAGTAAACATTGTTATATAAATTATTATTTATATAGCATAAAGTTTTTTTAAGTTCAATAAAGCGAAAAAAAAGCTAGCTTGAAGCTAGCTATCATTAGCAGCCTATGTACATGCAGAAGGAAGTCCACTCAGTGTGTATGAGAGACTCAGAAGCAGAGAATCAGTTTGTCACAGACGGTCACAGAGGATACTACCAGCTCACGGGAATGCTGGAATAGGTGTAGGTAAGGTCAGATGGGACTGTTGGGAAGTTTGGCAGACGCACACTACTGGCTGTCTAAAGTTACTTTCTTGCTCACAGCACTTGTAGTACTTCTAAAATCTATACAAATAATTTCAGTGGAGCACAGTAGCTTTGTTATTACCATAATTCTGAGAGCAAGGATCTAAACATCAGTGCCCTGAAGAAAAAAAGAGTTATTTAGTTGATTCTGCATTATTTTTATAAGTATACTTTGAGAAAGGAAGGAACTCGAACATCCTACAGTTCACTATACTGATTGTTTAGACATTTCATGAGCAACTTATGGCAGGTGCTTGAAACCAGATGTGACTGACTAAATGGTTTATTCACTAAACTCTCCAATATAAGAATATGAAACTATCACATTTGGTAAATTTGATTTTAAAATGACTGTGTAATAAAATAGGATAGGAAGTGATTAATCAATGAATGAGTACAGCTCTTCTGTCATTTTATGATTGCTCTCTCTATGTGTAGGCCAACCCTCCATCATACGACAGATCAGAAGACCTAGCTTCACTACTCTATTTGAATGAATCCAGTGTAATGCACTGCCTGAGGCAACGCTATGGAGGGAACCTCATCCATACCTATGCTGGACCCAACATGGTGGTCATCAACCCTCTCAGCGTGCCCTCCATGTACTCGGAGAAGGTAAGCTCAAGACTAATGAGCAAGGCCAGCCAAATGAATGGATTGCATTTATATATAGTGCATTAATGCCGGTTGTTTGTGAAAGAAAGTTTGTTAGTTGTCAATCATGTTTAGGTGTTTTGTAAGTAGATTAACACTAGCTGTTTAGTGTAGCTGTTTAGTTTAGTGTAGCTGTTTAGTTTAGTGTAGCAGTGTAACGATCACTTCGAGGGTTTGGAGATGCTTTATGCTACAGCTAACTCTTCATTAGTCTCTCTTTATTTTTGTGTTTGAACATGTTTTAAGCTCATGTTCTGTTCCTGCTCATAAGGTGATGAACATGTTTAAAGGCTGCCGGCGTGAGGATTCAGCTCCTCATATTTACTCTGTGGCCCAGTCGGCCTACCGCAACCTGCTCACCACCCGACAGGATCAGTCCATTGTGCTGCTGGGCAGGTCTGGTAGCGGCAAAACCACCAACTGTCAGCATCTTGTCCAGTACCTGGTCTGCATTGCTGGCAGCACAGGAAAAATCTTCTCTGGTGAGTTTGTCCACAAAAGACAGGGACTACAAACCTCAAATATCTTATATTGGAATTTTACATGGTTTCTCAGGATTCTCAACCTAGTTAGAAAGAATTAAATAATAATTCATAATAATTAATAAACAAAATCATCGTCTGATAAGTTCTCTTTTTTCAGTTTAACTGAATGCTCAGGTTTGAATTTGAGCACAGGCTAGCTTACACTTCAGCCCGTGTTGTGATGTTTGACACAGACTTGCTGCCATACTGTCCAAGCCAGAACATCACAGCTGTACTGGTTTCAGTCTTTTGTTTTGCATAAACCTTATTCTCTACAACTTTTGAAATTAAGTATTACAGATGATAAAATCAGATAATTTTTAAGTGTTTTTTCTTCAATTACTAAATACAACTAAATAGAAATAATTAACTAAACAGAAGTAGGCTCAAATCCTGTTACTGTCTAACTTAAATCAAAAATGAAAAAGAAGAAACTGACAGTGTGAGCCAGAGGTTTTTTACACCAACAAGGATATGTAAGACTGCGGTTTGAGTCAGGGCCTGGTTTGAGGACACATATAACATGTATAACAGTTATACACTGAAATGTCAGTATTGTCAGTGTCAGTGTAGCCAGTCCTACAATTTTCATCAGGTCTTTGTTTATAAAAGTATAATAAGATTTGGACAATAAGAATTATTAACAGGTAGAACAGAATTATGGGTTCTTTGTGAAACATTGATTGCTAGTTTGCAATGAATCATCAAATGATGGGACATCTTATCGTTTTGGCGACACAGCTGAGAAGTGGCAGGCAGTCTACACCATACTGGAGGCCTTTGGGAACAGCTCTACCACCACAAACACAAATGCCAGCCACTTCTCTCATGTTGTTTCCTTGGACTTTGACCAAGCTGGGCAGGTGGCCTCTGCCTCCATCCAGGTAACAAACACAAGCACACAGCTGATTAACTTGTACTGTACCCTTTTTACAAAACTCTCTTTACTTCTTAGACAATGTTGTTGGAGAAACTGAGGGTGAGCAGACGACCTGAGGGGGAATCCACCTTCAACGTTTTTTACTACATGATGGCTGGAGCCGACAGCAGTCTCAGGTGACTCGTTGAGCCCTTTTTTGTACTGTTTAGTAACGTAGACATTTTCTTTTGTTTTTTAAAAATAAAAAAACATTTTTTGATTTGGAAGAATTGTAGAGTTACAATAGGTTTTTCACAGTGTTTGTCATATTATTTCTTGATGTAAGTTTTCTGGTCACGTTTTTGTCACCTATTCTCTGTTTGCTATGGATAGGCATGTCTGGATATTTCTGGACAGTGGCATAATATTCACTGTTTCACTGCTGCATGGCAGCGCAATTGCGTTGAAATAAAATTGCCAACAGTCAGTATCACTGATTTTTTCAGTCATTGTATCATGGGAGCATATGTTACTTTAAAACCTGTATATACCTTACAGCATGAATGTACAGGCTCTTAATTCTATAGGCCACCCATTCCCAAAGTCAAGAATCCTGTGGCCCACTTAAAAACCAGAAAATCCCTTGTGGTCCACCCACAATAACCAAAATACAAGAGGATGTGAAGTATTTCCTTGAAATTTTTAGTCAAAACACAAACAATGCATGCTGTTGATTAAACTTTCTAATGCTTTGCAGTGTGTTAGGACCTCCCACTGGGACCAAAACCTAGATACAGTGTCTGAAGAAACAAAACATATTAGCAATTTAACATTTTATGGTAATCAGGTGCCAATCAGGCAGCAGCATTGGTAGAGAAGATTTGGCAGGTTTTTCATGGGGGTAACCCATATACTCGATCCACAAATGCATTTTTCTTACAAATGTGGAAATGCTTAAGGGGAAATAAACAGACTTTGCAGTGGTGTAATATTTATAGCTAAGATGGATTGTTACAACAAAGAAAAAAATCGACCAAACACAGATTTTGTTACTTTTTCAGGTAGCAAGTGGACATTCTGTGCTCGAAGTCTAAAAATGAGCAAGCTTAAGGATTTGAGTAAATTGTTGTCACTAGACGACTGCAGTTCTTGTGAGGTGTTCCTGGTTGACAGTCGTCAGTATCTATCAAAAGTAGAACTTGGAAGGAACTGTAGTGAACATTGATCCTGTGATTTGTGTCATTGCGTTCTGTTTTTAATTACATTTAACAAATCTTCTCAACTTTTTTAGAATTGGAGTTTTACACTAAATATCTTTGCTAAGTCAGCAATTAAATTAGAAAGCTGTCTTAAAAGAAAATCATTGTCACATAATATGGATATTCTTCTGATATAACAAAAATACAACAACTGACATCAAGCTTAAACATTTGTCTGGCACTGAGGAGCTCATGTTTCTGGTGTCTTTCCTCTCCTCCAGGACGGAGCTGCACTTTAACCACCTGGCTGAGAACAGTGCTTTTGGGATCCTGCCACAGACTAAGGTAATCACAGTAGATGGTAGATGTTAATAAAATGTCTGGATGAAAGCAGCTGTTTATTGCAAAATTCCAGACTCCCTGCAGGGTTCAGTAAAGTTTGATTTGATCTGCTTCAGCCTGAAGACAAGCAGCGATCCTTGCAGCACTTCACCAAGCTGCAGGCAGCCATGAAGGTGCTGGGCATCTCCAGTGAAGAGCAGAAAGCCATCTGGCTTATCCTCGGTGCCATTTACCACTTGGGGGCAGCGGGCGCGACTAAAGGTAGGAACGCCCTTCCTCATTGATTTTAAGTACATCAGATCTTGACTAGGGAGATGGTGTGATTATAGGGGAATAGGGGAAGATGTAATAAAAGAATAGCGTACAAATAGAAATCTACAGTGTATCACCAACTGCCACACCTGTCAGAAAAACAACCATACAGCAACTGGAACCCAAAGAATAAAAAAATGCAGAGATATATTCTTCTTGTGGGGGTTGTGCGGTGTGTGAGTGTGAGAGAGTGTCCAGTGTGAGTGTAAGTGTTTAAGTGTCTTTGACACAAAATGAACTTGAAAATGAGGGGAGGAGAAAATGGGCTCCAGGCGCCCAAGAACTGCCCGGCAGAGACCCCCCCAACATCTGACGATTTGACCACCCTCATAAGTTCTGGGTAATGACCAGTAAAATAAGGTCGTGAATCCAAGCAGCTAAAAGGAATTTCCTCTGTAGGGACGCTCGGCTGTATCTTAGATTTAAAGTTAGGAGCTTAGACATCTGGAGAAAGATTGTAGTAGAGCCACTGGCAGTGTTGGGGAGTAACGGAATACATGTACCGCCCGTTACGTATTTAAAATACAAAATATGAGTAACTGTATTCTGTTACAATTACCATTTAAAAAGGTGGTATTTAGAATACAGTTACTTTGTTGAAATAAAGGATTACACAGCAGTCTTTTCCTGTTTCATATGTTAGGCTGTCCCCTTTCTATTTTTGGTAATTCCACGCCGGTGGAAACCCAAACAAAACACACATTAAGAGGCTCAAATGCCTGGGTCTCAAGCCCATGTCACCTCTACTTGCGGCCCGCAAAATGACGTGATGAAATATTTAAAAAAATGATTGTTCAAAATATTTTTTAATATGAAGGCAATACAGGCATA